TTTCACAAAGCATGGTCCTAGTATTTCTTCTAAAGTTCTATTTTTCATCTCGACGACTCCATTTTGTTGAGGGTTCTAGGGGCTGAAAAAGTATGGCTATTTCCATTAGAATTACAAAATTCATTAAAACCAAGATTTTGAAATTCGGTGCCATGGTCACTCATAACACTTGAAATTCAGTAACCTTTTCATTTTGGTTTATTTTAGAGAAAATGATGAAATTTTCTAAAGCTCCATCTCTTGTACTTAAGAAAATAACCCAAGTAAATCTAGAATAGACATCTACCAAGACAAATGCATATTATTTTCCACCCAAGCTAGTAGTTCTAATAGGCCCAAAAAGATCTGTATTGATCAATTGTAATATTGTACTAGATTATACATCATTAATAGGTTTAAAAGAAGATCTTTTGTGTTTGCCCTTAGCACATGCATCACAAATCTTATCAATATCAAATTTTATCTTAGGTAAACCTCTTACTAGATTATCTTGAACAAGTTTTTGTAAATTACTCATCCTAGCATGTTCAAGTTTTCTATGCCATAACCAACAATCATGTTCATCCTTAGCAATCAAGCATACATTATAAATATAAATATTATTTAAGCGCACCATATAGATATTTCCTATCCTATGACCAACAAGCATAATATTATTCGATACCATATAGATATTTCCTATCCTATAACCAACAAACATAATCTTATTCGATGCAATGTCCATAATTTTGTAACCATTAAAATCAAATAAGACATTGTATCCCTTATCACATAATTGACTAATACTAAGAAGATTATGCTTCAACCCATTTACATACAAAACATTTTCAATAAGAATGGAAGTAGAACAAATTCATTCAAAGTAACCTTTTGATTTATCACCAAAGGCTATTACTCATCCACTTTTAGCTTTTAGCTCTAAGAACCGACTCTTATCACCAGTCATGTGTCTTGAGCATCCACTATCAAGGTATCATGAATTTGAACTTTTGGGTTGTGTCTTGTAGCAATGCTCCACTTACAAACATAGATTAAGTTTTGATTTTTGGTACTCAAATTCTTTTGAGTCCATTAATATTAGTTCCCAATATTTTTATCCCCTTGGGTATCCATTTTTCAAGGATATCTTTCTCATTAGTAGTAATGAGTCCTTTGGGGACCCATATACTTCTAATAATCTTTTTATTTGAGGTTCTTTAGGGACCTCTATGTTTGTAATAATTAAAGTTGTTTTTAACATAGTTGGGTTTTGAATGTTCACCTTTTTCAAATCTTTTTGTCCTAAAATAGTTAAAAGAAGCCTTAAGATCATCAAGTTTCTTTTGATGATCATCATGAAGTCTTGAAAGTAAATTATGCAAGTCTTGATTTTTCTTTTCAAACTCTTCAAGTTTGACTTGCATATCTTTGACTTGACTTGTAAGTTCAAATTAGTCTTAGAAAGTAGAACATTTTCATCTTTCAATTTTGAAATATTTTTCTTGTGGTTAGAAATCGTGCTCTTATATTCTAAGGCTAATTCATCATTAGCCTCTTGTAATTCATCAAAAGAATAATCAATTGAATTAGATGAATTAGAGGTTACATTGGAATCATCTTTTATGGCCATGAGACACAAGTTGGTTACTTCATCCTCTTCATCATTGGAGGACTCATCATCACTCCATGTAGCTACATGTTCCTTGTGTTTCTTCTTAGAGGATCCCTTTTTCAATTATGGGCATTCAAACTTGACATGCCTGAGCTTTTTGCACTCATAGCAAATAATAGGATCATTCTTCTTTGATTCATTTTTGAAGCCCTCTTTTTTTTTGGAATCTCCTTCCTTTGTTAGACCTCATGAACCTCATGAATCTTTTAGCAAACATTGTCATTTCTTCATCTTCATCATCTTTATTTGAGTCACTCTCTTCTTTAGTAGACTTGAGAGCAACATCAACCTTCTTCTTCTTTTTAATTTTCTTTTTTGCCTCATCTTTCTTTTCTTATTCTTCTTCTTCTCTCACCATCATCTCATGAGTAAGCAAAGACCCAATGAGATCATCTAAATTGAGGGTCTTTAGATTATTTGCTTCAACAATGACGGTCTTCTTGGATTTCCATGACTTGGAAAGATTATAGATCATCTTCCTAACAAGTTTCTCATTAGGAATGACTTCTCTAAAGCCTTTAATACCATTGATAATAATCGAAAATCGATCGATCATGTTTTTAATATCCTCATCCGGTCTCATCTTGATGTTTTCATAATTACGATTGAGAAGAGTAATCTTAGTTTCTCTTACTTCATTTGTTCCTTCATGAGTAAATTCAAGTTTGTCCCAAATCTCCTTGGCATTAGTACAAGATGAAACTCTCACATATTCATCAGGGCCAAGTGCACAAAATAGAATCTGCATTGTCTTTGCTTTGAGTTGGAACGATTTTCTTTCTTCTTTACTTCATTTCGTCATAACTCTAATTGGAGTAGAATGTCCACTCAATATGATGCCCCAAGCTCCCAAATCATTTCTCGGATGAAAAACATAATCCTATTCTTCCAAAAGGCATAGTTGGCTCTATTGAAGTAAGAAGGTTTGTTGATAGGTTGAGAATCATTGGTGACATCGAAGCTTGATGTAGTGGCCATGGATGACTTTTTTGATGACTTGATTCTTCTCGGATCTTATCAAGAGGTGGTAAAACCTTCTAATGAGTTTAGCTCTGATACCAATTGTTGAGTTAATTAATCAAGGGAAAATGACCAAGAATGGGTGAATTGGCAAATTAAAATGTTGGTAGAAGTTTTTGAAAGAAGTAAGAAATTGGCACAAGGATTTTAGAGTGTTCAACTTTCTTAATGAAGTTTACATCCACTACCTTAGCTTCACAACTAAGGATTTTAACAAATTCATTAATTTGTTCTAACATTTTAGGACAAGGTGTAACCTTACACAACACAAAGACTAATACCCTAAAGTCTTAAGTGTTCAACGCTTCCTAAGAAGAAATTACAAATAGCAAACTAGGAAACCACACTAGTAATGTGTTTGTACAATTCAAGAACAAATAAGAACACTCAACAAAATGAAACAAATGAGTACAAAAGTGTTCTTTGAAAGCAAAAAGAATATTGAAGAATGTTGACTTGATTTTGGCTCAAATTGATTACTTTAGCTTTCTCTATGATCTTTTGTCTTCACATATGACTTGGAATTTTGTTTTTATACCTCTTCATTCAATTCTAGCCTTTGGGTTGTTGTAGAAGTTAATAGAGCCACTGGAAAGAATTTTCCAACAATAAATGTTGCCATAAGCCTTGAGTCGGTACTCGGGCTTGGAGTATCGGTAGTTCTTGCATTAAATACAAAAATCTAGCCGTTGGTGAAAGAGGAGTATCGGTACTCTATCTAGAGTATCGATACCCGTATCGATACTCACAGAGTATCAGTACAAAAATAGCCTACTGGAATCGTGTTTGTCAAAAAAATTAATAGAAGTATCGGTATCAGTATCAGTACTTTAGTGTTTTTTTACACACTAGTATTGGTACCAATATCGGTACTGCAATGTATTTTTACACATTGATATCGATACCTGTATTGCTACCACTTGAACAATATCAATACTATTCTTGCAGTATCGATACTCTAGGGTTAAAATTTGATTTTTGACTAGATTAAAATCTGAAACTCTTTGTAAAATGTTTGAAAATTATTTCCAGTATACGAATTGAGTTTTTCAAAAGATTAAGGAGTAAATATAAAGTTTTTCACTTTAAAAAAAAATTATATCCGAATGATTGAATCAAATATAAACCTGAAAATCATATTAAAAAATGATCTTAAAATTTCTTTAAAAAATATTTACTTTTAATATATCAAAATCTCAAAGCATGGTTCAACAACCTTCGTATCAATTTTTGCTTCTTAGAATACCATGCCACTAGACATTTTCTAATAATCTCACTGTATTTTGAAATTGACCTACAATCATCTAAACTTGCACCCCAATCAGTATCAGCAAAGGCTATAATATTCAGATTAGCTACATCTGGTGTGAAAGCAAGCCCATAGTTAACCATACCAGCTAGATATTGAAGGATTTGTTTCACTACAACAAAATGAGACTCGAAAAGAGCATACATAAACTATGCAATTCTTCCCACACTGAATACAGCAATGATCCTATAATACTACGGTACTCAGTGGCATCCTGCAACAACTCACCTTGTTTTGAGACAATTTCGATGCCATAACCATGGGAGTAAGCAATGCAGCAGCTGACTTCATACTTTTCTCCAGCAACTCCAAAATAAACTGACTTATCACAACATTTAACTTCTATGCTCAAGAAATAACTTAGCTCACCTCAGTCTTTAAGATAACATTTGACTTCTATGCTTAAGAAATAACTTGCTCACCTCAGTCTTTAAGAGAACTTTTCATTTAGTATGCGCACCATCTCCTCAATTACATCAGTTGATTGCCTAGCGATGACAATGTCATCAACATACACCATAACATATATGTATACTATATCTTTGTTGCAGATAAATAAAGATGAAACAGCATGGAAAACCTCAAAATCCGTTTGCATAGAGTTATCCTTGAGTTTATTTTGCCAATTCCACCACGTTATGTTTTCGTTCCACCACACCATTTTTTTATGTATGTGGACATGTGATTCTGTGAATAATACCAGTTTTAACTAATACGCACTGAAAATAAGCTTCTAAATTTACCACCCCAATCGCTCTGAACAACCTTTATGTTCAATCCAAACTGAGTTGCTACTATCTGCTGAAATAGTTGGAAAACTGAAGTTGCTTGGGACTTGTCTTTTAACAGATAAATCCAAATATAATGAGTGAAGACATCAATAAAAGAAACATAACAGTGAAAACCAGTTGAAAAATGTTTAGAGGTCTTACAAGTCACAAGTCCGTATATACAAGCTATAATAGAGCATCGTATACCGTAGTTGAATTAGGAAAGGACAGTTTATGACTTTTACCCATATGACAAGCCACACAAGTTTTATTAACATTGGTAGTAACCTTTACATCAATTACTTTGCCTATCTTTACTAACACTAAGATAAGCAATCAAACCCAGGAACAAGCAACTCAAGCAAATAAACTGTCATCTATATTATAGTCTACAAGAAGACCTATAAAATTCGACAAATCCCTTTTCCTTCAAGCTTTCAACCGTTTCCTTGAGGCTCACATCCAAAGGAATGAATTCTACACCCAATGTTTTTGCCTTTTCCTTCGACACCCGATACGTTGGCACATACGGCTTGTCGTTCGCGCATCTGTCAATTTTTTTAATCGAACAGTAACTGTTTAAGTACATATCTCAACATCGAGCATGCAACATAACACATAAGATGTTTTCTTCCAAAATCAGAATGAAACACCTAAAGGCTAAAACCATACTGCAATAACGGTGCAGAGTTTGTAATGTTTTAAGGTTTAGAAGCTATAACTTACTTTTCAGGAAGTTGGAGAGAAGGATAGAGCTCGTGTAAGATCTTCACGATTTCCGAGTAATGTGCAACTCTCTCGACTAAACAATACCGTCCGGTTGCTGATGGAATCTCAAATGCCTGGATATGTGCATTGGCAACATCTTTAACATTGATCCAACCCAATCTTGCATTGGGGAAGGTCTGTGCTCCTGCAGAAACAACCGATGATAATGAACGAGATACCATAAATTAAATGCATATTTTTTATCCAAAACTAATACTTTTCCAAGTAATTAAGCAAATAGCAAAGCATCAATCTCCAGTTTAAAATTGAGAAAGAAAATAGTGGCAAAGAATACCTTTAATTAAGCTTAAAATTGCTGCAGCACTCGTATTAAGTGTTGGCTGTAAAAGAGGGCCAACTACCATAGCAGGGTTTATGGTAACCATGTCAACGTTCTTCTCCTTCGAAAATTTCCAGGCAGATTCCTCGGCCATTGTTTTTGAGACTACATACCATTGCTGAATTAAAAATAATTATAGCAAAAACATTAATTAATTAACTGAATCTATCTATCTATATATATATATATAAACTTACCATACACTTGCAAAGGTTAAGGCTATAGCATGCACAAATAGAATAGTGCACAAACATAAGACTGAAATGCAAATTATAAAAGCAATAAGCCAACAACTAGGAGCTGTTCCATAATGTGTAATCAATATCCTTCATGCTAAAAGGGCAACAAACAGATAGTCACAAGATTGGCCGATAGAATCCGATGAAATCTTAAATTATCTTGCAAGATGATACATAGGAGCTGTTCGAAGAATTTTTATAACTTTTTAGAGCACTATTTGAATGCCAAATCCTAAATGTGAAAGATAGTTGTTGACACCCGTTTTTGTCCGGGTCTTTTATATTTATTTATTTTTTATTTTATTATTATTAATTATTATTATTATTAATTTTACATATTACATTTTTTTTGCAGGCTTAGAAGCCCAATTCAGATTACATTGGCCCAATCCCGGAGCCCAACAACCCGAAGCCCAATTGGCCCAATCCCAGTCCCCAACAACCCATCAGATTAGGGTTTCAAACCCTAAATCAGTTTAGGGTTTCAAACCCTAAATCAGTTTAGGGTTTCAAACCCTAAATCAGTTTAGGGTTTCAAACCCTAAATCAATTTAGGGTTTCAACCCTAATCCCCTAACTACACAGCCGCCGCTCAAGCCAGATTCCAATCCCCAGCCGCACGTTGATCTTCACCGAGCCACCAAGCCGAGGTGTCCCGTCGCCGCCGACTGCTCTCCTGCGTGAACAGTGACCGGTTCCTGTAAAAACAGTAACCCAATCAAATAACAGTGGCCTAAACTTACCCAAATCTAAAAAAAACCCATTAGAATAGCACCCTAAAATCCCGAAAAATCTGGATTTTATTCACCCAATCAGAGAAATCAAATCCTAGCTACCTAGATATCATCATCATCTCACCAGGAATCCAGAGGGAAGCAAAGATAAAAGAACAAAAAAAGAAACCAGAAAAGGAGAGAAAAAAATCGAAACAGAAAAAAAAGAGAAAAAAGAAAGTTTTACCTCTTCCTCGAACCACCACCGTGAACCTCGTTGTGACCTTCTCCGATCTCGGCTAGCCCCGTATCTGAAGGTAAAGCCTTCTCCTCTTCTAGGTTGGTTAGGGTTGGAGTGAGGTGATTTTTAGGGTTTTGAGTCGCTTAGGTTTTTAGGGGAGAGAGAGATGAGTTTACTCCCCATGGCCACCGATCCACGGTGGCCGGGGAGTTTTGGGTCCTCTGTTTGCTGGAAAAAGGGGTTGAGAAGGAGAAGCTTGAGAGCCTTTTCGGCTCTCTGTAATGAGAAGGAGAGAGGGAGATCGGCTGAGGAAATGAGGGGGAGAGTATATGATTTTTAGGGTTTCAGAATAACCCTTAAAAGGGTTATATTTCAGACGTCGAGCGGCGTCGTTTTGAGGCCGAGTGATGGGATTAAGGGCTAATAGCCCATTTGGTCCTCTTATCTCTGTAATCTTGTACGCGTGTCCTTAGCATTTATGGGTGAACTACATTTTAAATCCCTTTAGCTTTGTAATGGTTGTAATATGATCCTAAATGAAATTTCATCTTTCTATTTTGAGCTCTTTATTTACATCTTGTTCCGTTTTAATCCTATATGATTAGTATTATATTTTCTAAGTGTTTAGATTTTTAGTTGCTTGTTTCATATAATGATCGTTTTAGTCCTTATTTGCATGTGTTGTGTAATTTTAGCTGATGTTCGAATTTAGCCCTCAGATTTATGCATTTTCTGTTTTAGTCACTGTTTTGGCATTTGGTTTAAATATTTGTTTTATCCTTCATGTTTTTGTGTAATTTCAGTTTAGTTATTTAACTTATGTTTCTTCGATTGTAGCCCTTTAAATTTCTGTATTTGTATTTTGGTCCCTGAAATTATCATATGTGCTTATTTGGTTTGTATTTTGGTTTGTAATGTTAACTTAGTTTTATTTTAGTTATTTATGTATGAATGTATTTTACATATTCTATGGTTATTTGTATTATGTAAGTAATGTATTTAATATAATTTAACGTAAATGTTTATATCCAATTGCATTTATTTTCATTATATTTGATTTTATTTTCAAGAACACATATTTATAGAACGGGCGTGGAAAGTATCACTTGATCGAAGTGGTACAATCTGATACGACGTTCAAACTGAATAAATAAAAAATGCAAATTCTTCCTTTTACAAGCTTATAGAAATTATTTTTATTGTTTTTATTTTTTTGATTAATTTATTTGATGGTCACATAGTTTAATATTTAAATTCTAATCTTTATTATTATTTCTTCGTTGGATCTTAATATGAGGGATGATTTTGGAAAGTATAATATGATGTATTTTATGTCAATTTTCGTCATTGTCTTTTAATTTAAAGAGAAGATATTCTTTACAAATAAGAAATAGACGAGGTAGCTTTCCCGGCGGAGGATTGCAAATCTCGGGATTTCTTATCGATAAAAGGATTTTTTTTTTATTTTAACTAATATTCAATAAATAGATCATAATTTATTTATTATTCTATTTTCATAATTTTTATTGTATTAATGGTTGTTATGTTGATATTAACGATACATAAATTAAGCATATTTTATTTTCTACTCATGACGATATTATTTAGTGGTAATTCAAAGATAGGATATACTTTATAGATAAGAAATAGATGAGATAGCTTTCCCGTTGGAGGATTGCAAATCTTGAGATTTCTTACCAAGTGAAGTATTTCTATTATTTCAACAAATATTCAATAAATAGATCATTTTTTACTTCATATTCAAATTGTAATTTCCACCATTTACGACGATGTGTAAGCTACACAGTACCAATTTTGGGCGTTGTGGGGTGCTTACCCTTCCCCACATGTAACCGACTCCCGAACCTGTTTTAAATGAATCTTTGGTAACGTAGACCAAAATTTTGTCTTATAAAATTATTTTTCTTAAAATTGTTTTTAAAAGACGTTTTTAGGTATTTGACCTACCTAATCCAAAGGTCGATGGCGACTCTATTCAATTTAATCCAAATTAATTCCAAATCACCAATTTTTCCAAAGTTAAAATCATAATCGTTTTTAAAAATAATAAAAAATAGTTTTAAAAAAAATGGTTATGACAGCTTGGCGACTCTGCTGGGGACTCTAGAGAGTCAGGCTGTCGGTCGCTTATATATGGTCGTTATGGTGGAAATTATAAGTTCGAATCTTTAGTAAAGCTATGATCTATTTATTGAATTTTTATGTATTATTTTTATTTCTTTATTTTTATATACTAACATTTTAATTGTTTTCATTTTTTCAGATATTTCTTAGTTCTCGTTGGGTGTTTTTTATTTATTTTTATTTTCCCTGTTTTTGAGTCAAAGGTTTGTTTGTTTCTCCTCACACACATCACTTTCATTAGCATAACATGAGCTCTAGACATGAGTTTCGATCCAAATTAATTAGGGTGATTGCTTTACTCTCGTAAGAATTTATTCTTCGTATGAGTTTTAGCAAATAACCCATGGGATACATACCTTATACCTTCGTAGGAATTTATTCCTCGTATGGGTATAAGGCAGTGAATCCCCTCGAATTGAACTCGGTCCGTTTGAAACCTGTAATGGGTGAGGATTGAGGGTTTGGTAGCCCAAGGGGGCACCGACATCAAGGACAATTTGAGTTCCTTTTTTCCTGTTAGAGCTGAAACCATGCATATAGTGAACCATAGCACGGTCACACTAGGTAGAGTCATACTGAACCTCTGTCCGTCAATAGGTACCCAAAATAGGCGTACACAATGGAGAAACTCTCTAACCTCTTTATTTTATTTTGTTTATTTATTTTTGAGTGTGTAGAATAGATTTATTCTGTTAAAGCATATGAAATAGAATTTAGGTGCAGTTAGAATTTAATTAATTTAGAAGGGTAGAGAGCATGTTCGGATAGGACCCTTTTTGAGGAATATTATTCGGGTAGATAATACATAAATAGAATAGATTTATTTCCCGTTTTACTTATATTTTTATGTTAAATTTATGCAATTGTTTTGACTAACTGTTTTGTTTGTTTTGTTTATTTTTTCATACTGCATAGACATATCATTAGAAAAGGCGATTGATCTGTGAGTATCGATAAAGTGGAAAGACTTTCACGATGGAAAGGAGTTTTCTAAACAAAGAAGTGAGTCCAGCAGATGTAAGGAACTGGTCCGAAGCCAAGCAGAAAGAGCAGGGAGATAGTCTATCAGGGGACTACGTGTCGGATCTGTCTGATTATACACCAGCTTCTTTAAAACAGAATGAACTTCAGGGATTGAAAACAATTTGGGAAAGCTGGAATCTTATTGAGAGGCAAGCTTTTCAACAGACTTATGGGGATATATTTCATCTGATATACGTGAAGGTAGACCCGATTCTCATACGAAGCATAATACAGTTTTGGAATCCGGCCTATAGTTGTTTCACATTCAACCGAGAGGACATGACTCCAACCCTCGAGGAATACCAATTTCTGTTGAATTTGACAAGCGTTAAAGTGGACAAAGTTTACTCCCGGTCGATAAAAGGGCCTTCTTTGAAGTCAAAGCTTGCAAAGATTTCGGGCACAAGCGACAAATGGGTAAATGATCGCTTGCAACGCAAGGGAAAGAAAGTGAGGAGTGCCGTGGTCTCACTTACAAAAGATAGCTGAAGCACATGTAGATGAAAACGTGCGTAGAGATGTATTTGCTTTGGGTATATATGGTTTGGTAATCTTTCCAAAATGTTTGGGGCTGATCGAGCTAGCAGTAGTCGATTTGGTTGAGAAGTTAGGAAGAGAGGTGAATCCAGTCCATGCAATTCTTGCTGAAACTTTCCGATCTTTGAATATATGTAGAAGGTTGGGGGGAGGTCGTTTTATGGGTTGTGCTCAATTGCTTACCGTGTGGATCAGAAGCCATTTCTGGAAGGAAGAAAAA